TTGCTTACTGTCAAGTACAGTTTTGCTTACCTGTCACGGTGGTAAACGCTCATAACACTGGTGGACATGAGAAGCGTTGACGCAAGGTATGAACGCATTCTTATATTCCCAAAAATAACACACAGAAACATAGAAAGAACACCATGCTGAACAATGACGATACACACGACGACACTTACACCCACAACATGCACATCCTGCTGTACCTTTCCTTTCTTGGTGACTTTGTCGTACATCTGACGATCCGAATCGGATTTCGCCGACGACTTTTCATCATCACGTAGATATCTAAAAAGAGTAACTTAGTTGCCTCCAGTCCCCCACTTATTAAACATTTAGGTCGACAAAAAGAGTTACTCGGTTGGATAACTACGTTACAATAGTGTCGTGTTGTAAGCTAGGGATAATCTATTCACATGCTTACGGTCTAAAAAAAGTTGCAGTCTTGTTTGCTGCAGATGAAGGGGCGTGCCAGTGAGCCTGCTTTGGAGCGCTGCCAGCCCATTCTCTCCCAGTGCAGAAGCGGGTAAGCGGCAACAAGTGATGGGCAACGAATAATACGATCGATATTATTCAGTCTATCGCTTGCAGAAAGAAAGAAAAAATGAGCCGACACACTTCAAGTCCATTCCCCCTTGCCACGCCTTGTCATCCGCAGTGAAAGACTATAGGTAATGAATGTACGAAATCACGCAATGGGGCGTCGCATCGCATGTATCGGTTCCTTCTCACTTTCTGAGACCGAACAAATAATTCAGAAAAAAATGACCAAAAAATTAAAGGGGAATTCTTCAGGCAATCGAAATGCAAAGGAAATCGGGGAAATACTGCTGGGGTAGGAAATTAAAACCGAAAAAACGAAATAGTTACCCAAACCGAGCTTAATGGAATCAAACCGCAGGAAACCCGACAATGTAAACGAACCTAAAGGAAATCAAGAAAGAGAATAAACGTTCGAAAATAATCGTACTTTTCGAATGTGTACGAGAAGGCGATCCCTGACAATACACACACAGCTGGAGTGAGGGTTAACATGAGACGAACCATCACACCGGCAAAATACACGGCAGACACCGCGTAAAGGATAACTAAACAAGTAATTGTTTAACGCAGCTAGACTTTCGAAAAAATGGAGTATATCGATTAACTCACTGAAGACACGCTCATCATTAACATTCTTCACACAGTACCACACTCCGACTGGGAATACAGCCGCTGTGATATGTAGATCAAAAGAAAAAATGATACCCAGGTTGTGGGTTGATGTTCCGAGACTGACGCAATGATTGGGATATGAATCTGTAAAGAGAGAATTCGAGGATTCGCAACATATAATGCACAACTATCACAAACCTTTGCATAGCCAGTATCCCACAGAGAATAGAAACGACCAGAGAATGGAGCAACGTATCCTAGAACAGAAATGATTGCCCGTAGGTATGGAAACTTTTTCTTTTCACCCTTGCGTTAATCCATGGCAGTGTTAGGCCGCGTTCATACTTTGCGATCAAAAATATTCGGTGAATTGGGGAATCGCGGGATCGCTCAATCTCCCAAATCGCCGAATCGCCGAATTTAAGCATTCGCAAAACCGGCGCCAATCGACAGTTCCACTTTCCTCACCGCGCAACCTCATCGGCGAACCTCTCGAATCGCCGAATCTGGGGGTCCACCTGGGGGTAAAAGAACAGACAAGAAACATCTGCTAGAAAACTATGCCACACTACGGAAATAAGCTTTCTCTTTTGATCAAAACATGGCTTTCCAGGAAACCCGCGCTGTACATTAGTTGGCTAACAAGCCGTAGTTGAACCTCGCTTAAGTGTCACTTACACTCGTCTTTAGGTGACGAGAGGCCAGCTTTTTAGGCAGGCAACTAGATTATCGGAATAGTTACATCAAGCGACCAACGCTGTTGGTGAACGAACATTTCGGGAATCACCTCTTTCGCAAAGCTTCCCTGCAGCTTTTTATTATTTATATAAGTAAAAGTGGGATAAAGGTGATGCTTACAGTCTGATAAAATGACAACTACAGTGAATAGCACCGTTAGAAAGTTGGAAGAGGAAATCGTTCGCAAGGCGATCACGTAGTCTTGGCGTGTCATCCCCCCTCCCCCAATAACTCTCCCGAGCACATGACATACTGCTCTGGGCCACGTCCCCGACACCCACGCACATTTCTCTGACACGGCCGTACCATTTAAAGCATGTAATCCCCTCCGACCTGCATGTATACTTTTGTCGCGTGAGCGTAGTTTACTCGTTCCATGCCATTTTTTACAAGTATCAGATAAGTAAACAAGCCCCACTCACCTCCCCAGACCAAAGCGAAGTAGACGACGAATGCTAGGCAACCAACTGCAGTTAATCCACCAACGAACAGGGTCATAAACTGCTGACGAGATACACGTTGACGGGCGTACTGCATTGCAGCAACAATCTGAACAAAAATATCAAAAATACCGAGTACAACATAAGCATCTCAAGCAAAAAGACAAGGGCCTGAAAAGTACCTGAAGAAGACCGAAGACGCCAAATGCTGGCATGTGTTCGGATGTGCGCACTGGTTGAAAGCCGACAAAAGGGATCTGCATTGATAACACCGTGGCAAGACAGTAGAAAGTGGTGTAGGCAACGAAAAGGCGTGACGAATAACGACCTTCAAAATTCATGCTTTCTCTACAATTCTCTACAAGAAAATTCAAAAATTTAGCTAGAAAAATAGCAAATTCCAAATAGCAAAAAAGGAAGGATTCTCTAGCAAAACGATTTTTCTTGCATTCTTGCGAGAAGCGCCCGCTGTACCAATCTCTGCACTCAGTAGATCTCATTGAAATCCCCGCTCCCAAGCAGCCAAGCCTTTTTTTCTGCCGCGAACAATAAAAAAACACAATAATAACAAGATGAATAGAGAAAGAAAAATAGAAATACATCTCTAAGGAGTGGTAGTGGGGGCTTCGCGCAAAAATGCAAAAACTGATTTGCGAAAGACTCCTCAGATTTATTTTTTCCGAGATTTTTAATTTGT